ATGGATCCAAATGGCAAATTATAATTTAATACCTATATTTTTTATATTTTACATTTTGGTACCCAAAATTTAATTTCTATACGAAAAATATTATTGAAAAATACATTTTGGTACCTAACATTTTTTATTATGACATTTTAGGGGTTAATTGCATGGTTGGTCACTGAGATTACAAAAAATGTTCAAATTTGGTCACTCGAAATATTTAAATCCATTGATGGTACTTCACTTTACGAAAACCGTTCACCTTTGGTCACTCTTCGTTAGTCGCCGTCCATCTCCGTTAACGGCGTCCGTTAAGTGATGACGTGGCTGACAGAATCGCCTAATCAACAATTTTTAACCAGAAAATTAACAGACCCGACCCACCATGTCATCTAAACCTACCCAACCCTCTAACCAGACCAGACCCGACACAACCCACCAACCCTTTAACTAAAATACCCACACAATTGAACCCTAATTTCTAAAACACCTACCCTTTCAGATCGTGCGCCATCTGTCGTCCTTCCGAGTTTCTTCCTTTACTACTTTGTTCGTGAAGAAACCGACGACGAAGGAGGGATGAAGCCAACCACAAAGTGTTCTTGATCGCGCGCCGTCTTTTCCCCCCAATACAAGTCCAAACCCCTCTCCCATTTTCTTCTTCATCGCGCGCCGTCTTTTTCCCTCTTCTCTCTGACAACGTAACCCTAAATTGAAGCTTCGATTCTCCTCTTCTCTCCGACAACGAGACCCTAAAGGTGAGTTTGCTATTTTGGCTTTTGTTAGTTCGAGTAATGTCTGGAAAGTATGAAAAGAGAAAATAAGAAGGGGGCAGACGAGAGTATAAAGTGGTGTTGTGCCTTTTGGGGGTTCTCTTTTAGCTTTGTTTTATACTAATAAATTGCAGGTTGTTGTTGGTTTTCTAGGTCACCATTTCACCGAAGGAACCATGGTGGGCATGTGCGGGCTCCAAATGAAACTCAGCCTAAATATTGTAAGTCTCCCATCGTTTTCGCTCTTGTCTTTATGGTAGATGGCTGGTCTGGGTTGTCCTTTTCCACAGTTGGCCTTTATTAGAGACGAGGACAACACTTTGGGTAGTTTTCGAATAGAAAAATACAAGATTATGTGGGAATGACAAAAATGCAGCCTTAGGGTTTGACATTTTCTGTCTTTTAATAGAAGCTGGTGGGACTTGACCACCTACTTACCTGTTGCTCCATAAATGCTCGTTTCTTTTGAAATTAACTCCTTTCAATTGCTGTTTTTTTACCAAACAGGTGCTTCCAGTGGAGAGAAGAAAGGAGAAAAGGGGTGCTGGAGATGAGTTGGATAATGATTCTGACTATGATGAGGATGAAGACAACGACTATTTGGAGGATTCAGAAGAAGATAGTTCAAGGGACAATGCACAATTTGAAGCAAATATCACTCAAGAGGTGGAAGCCGACATGGGTACTTTTGAAGTGGATGATGGGCAACCTGAACTACAAAGGGAAGGGTCTGATTATCAAGACTCTGATGATCGTAGGATCATTGTAAGCTCGGACTCGGATGAAGGAACCAGTCTTGGGAATTCCCTAATGATCGAGACATGGAGAGGCCTACTTTTGCTGCTTCCCAGAAGTTTAGCAGCTTTGGAGTCCTAAAAGATGCAATAAAGCAACATGCTTTCGTTGAGAAGAGGCTAGTCCACTTTAAAAAGAATGATGGAAAGAGGCTGCAAGTAGTGTGCGCTCCTCCTTGCGATTGGTGCATTTGGGCTTTGAAGATGAGCATCGAAGATTCTGTCCAAATCAAGAAGTGAAAGGTTGAGCTCTCACCAGATTGTAGGAAGACGTTCAAGGTCAAGTACGCTACTGCAAAGTTTCTCGGCTCCAAGTTAAGTAGGAAGATGGCATGCGATAGGAACATGAAAAGGGGCTTGCTGAAGCACATTGTGAAAGAAGACTACAAGGAAGCCGTGAAGGACTCGAAGGCTTGGAGAATACGACATGCAACAATTGAGAGGAAGATATCAACGAGTGGTCTGGTTCTTTGACGGAAAAAATTGAGAAGAAGTTGCGGGAGTGGGAAGAAGAAGCTGTAAAGTGGACAGTTGTTTCAAATGGAAGGGATCACTTTGAAGTGAGTTGGCATGACAAGCAGGTTGTGGTCAATTTGAAGGCGAAGACATGCACTTATCGACGATGGAAGTTAAATGGGATCCCTTGTCATCATGCTATCCAGGCAATTGGTTTGGATAACCCAAGGTTGTATGATTATGTTGCAAAATGCTACACCAAGGAAACCGCAGCAGCAATATATGAGCATTCTATTTCGCCAACCAATGGTAAAGACTATTGGCCACAGTCCGAGTTGGGAGATTGTGGCATTCCTCCTGTTCAAAGTTCGAAGAAGAGAGGAAGACCAAGGAAACAGAGGAGAAAGGGATTGGATGAGGATGTAGAAGCCAAGAAGAAACAAAAGAAGGGGGGAAGAGAATCTTCAAAACCGGAAGGGAAGCAATACAAGTGTAAAGTTCGTGGTGTACTAGGCCACAACAAGACTTTCCATGATGAAGCAAGGAAACAGAAGGTAGAAGAAAGGAGGAAATAGAAGGAAGAAGCAAAAAGGCAGCAACAACTTGAAAGGGCTGAGCGAAACAGACTTGCAGCGTTAAGAAAACGGCAAGAGAAAGCTGCAAATGCTGCTTCTTCATCGTCTAGAAAGCCCCCACATGTAGTTCAACTCATGCCAGATGTAAACTTTTATAACTTTCTTCATTTCCCCACCTTATCAAGTATTTCCAGCATACTAATGTGGCTTAATTTGTAGGGAAGTACTCGAAGGCCATCAAGTCAAGGCTATCAACTCTCACAGATTTAAAGCCAAGTGACTCAAGTAGAGTAGTTGTGAAGAGTAGATTTAAGTCATGCAGTGGGCGGTTAGGTCATTGTGAATGGTTATTTTAAACTTTGAAGCCTCTGAGGCCTCATGCAAATCAATGTGGATTTGCCATTTTGTCATACAAGTCCATGAAACTTGACTTGTTAATTATGCATGGCTCTTTTGGACAACATAGCCGTTAGTGATCTAATTATGAATGACTATCAAATTTGATCTTTCTGTTTCCGACTTAACTGGAAAATTGAGTATCATGCAGAACACGTTAAGCATTGAAGTGTGGTTCTAAAACTGGCTTTTTCCAGTTTCCAAAGGTCGTCCTTACATGTTTTTCCAGTGACCAAATGTGGTCCTTACATGTTTTTCTAGTGACCAAATATAAGTGTTACTAGGATTTTTGGTGACTAAATTTAATCTGAACAACTTTCTGCATGGTCAATCGTACAACTAATCAGAACTTTTAGATGCAAAAAGTAAAATTTAATTTTTCTAGGGTTACAGTCTACAATACAAAAACGAACAATTACATCAGTTGTGATTCAGCAAATAGCTTCTTACATTCCCAATCTCATCCAGATGAAAGACAAGACAAGAGCAATCATAATGAAGATGAACACTAGGCAGCCATTCACTTTGGACTCTTTCCCATTTTGCCTCTTCTCTAGTTCCCGAATCCGACAATGAAAGTTCAGCACCACAAACTTCATATGTTTATCTGGTGCTGGGTCATCCATTTGAAGAAATTACATGCCCCATTTGTCTACAAAAATAGTGAGGAATGAAGGAGAGGGATGGCCGAATGGTCTACAAATCAAAGCAGAAAAGTGAGTGAAATCTTACCCCATACTTGCTGCACCCGTAGAACCTCCTCCCTGGATTCGCCTCAGTCCAGCTCGTCTTGAGATCTGATGCCAATCCACAACGACAGAAAGGTGCCACCATTAGCAGAAGAGAAGGTGATGAGAAGGAAACAGAGTGAGATGTGAACGTTTGGGGCGGAAGAGAGGATTCTTGTCGCCGGAAACCCACATAAATAAGATAGAGGGGTTGGTGGGTCGGGTCGGGTCTTGTTTGGTTAGAGGGTTGGGTAGGTTTAGATGACATGGGGAGTCTCAATGACGTGGCGGGTCGAGTCTGTTAATTTTCGGGTTAAAAAGTGTTGATTAGGTAATTCTGTCAGCCACGTCATCACTTAACGGACACCGTCATCAATGGATTTAAATATTTCGAGTGACCAAACTTGAATGTTTTTTGTAATCTCAGTGACAAACCATGCAATTAACCCGACATTTTAGTACCCCAACTTTTTGAAATTTACATATTGGTCCAAGACTTAGATGTCATTTGGATTCCTGGATCAATCCACCAATCCATGGATCCAATCCAATTGCCACCTCTAGGTGTGCTAATGGTTATCACTTGTTTTTTTGTGTGTAAAAACTTGCGTTGAATTGAGATTAAGTGTACCTTTGATTTTTTGGACAACGATTACTAAGAATCTAAGATACGGCTCACACCTCTTCAAACAAAGTTCAAACGAGGATGTTTGATTGATGTTTCAGAAAACTAAGCTAAATTACTCTACTTTTATGGAGGTTCAGTGAGAGTTCCAAACTAAAAATTAAATCTATGGCTACATATGCTAGAGAAAAAGTAAAAGATAAACTTGACATGTGTGCCAGACTATTGATTTTGGAACCCTTCTCTCAGTTCTCTGACCACTCCCCCCTCCTATTTATAATCATGAGTAGGAAAACTGTCGTAGAAAACCTTCTGGAGAGTAACTTCCAAAAATAATTGCTTCCCTTCTTCCTCGGACGTGGCTGACGTGACCTCAAACGTGGAATAATCAACAGTTGCTCCCTTAACCGCCCAGTCGTCTCTCTCTTTTAGAGCTGAAGTTTTGATGCTTACCTCCTCTTCACCATGATTACCAGCACTGCCAGATATAACGACTAGATCTCACGACCGACATAGTCTACATCTTAGACTTGCTATTTCATACCCTCCTTGTTATTCCACACGGCATACCCTCTCATGACCAACATGATCGAATCTCACGACGTGGTTGTCTTAGACTTAGTCATTTGGACTTAAAATCTAGTACCATGAGGCCCAATCTAAGCAAGTCAATTCTTATAATTGATCTAACCTTATAAAAATGCCTTGTAAATAATCTAATCGATGCGATACAAGATTATTTTTAGATGTAAATTGTCGTGCCCCATCATAAAATCTGAACCTGTTGTCCATAGCCCGTGAGCCAGGAGACACCAAGGTCAGTCCAGGCCCGCGGTTTCGGAGGTAAGATTAGAACCATACGACGCATCAGCTGGTATAGTTTACACATGAACATGCTATGGAAGACATCAGTTTTATCAATATCATAATGGTCTGGAAATGAATTCAGAGTTCAGTCACGCGCTACAATACAAGCATCCTACTCGAGCGACCAATACTACTTCAATCTTCCACTTTTTGCATTTCCGCCAACTACCGTTTGGTGGAAGTTAATACAGCTGCCTTAATTCTTGCAAGTAGTCATTGACAGAGGCAAACTGAAACATCAGGTCACCACTCACCACATGACAGGGAATATAAGCCGGCTGATCTTGCTTTCCAGGGAGAATAGGAAAGAGAACCTCTTTCATTTGGCACTCCCCTACTTCTTCATTATGCCCATCCCCTGCCTCAGTTCAGTTACCAGCTGCTGTGTCATTTCTAAACTGCTCTGCTTGTGGGGGAAGAAGAAGAGCCAACCTAGTTTTGTACCTTGCGATTCTAATCAACCGTTCTTCCCTTAATCTACACAACACACACACAACCTTGTCGTTATTTGCACAAGCACCAGACCAAATAGCTAGAGTATCCTCCCTTGACAGGGTGAGATCATAATAGTCAGCCCAAGGAAGGCATTCTGAGGAAACATGTACCAAGATCTGATACCCTTACCTTGCTCGAACCTTTTTTGCATGCTTGATGTGCCTCTTTAACAAGTCTTGCGCTGATAAATGTTTAACAGTTTCTTCAGCCTGCAAAAAAAGAAGCTTGACTTCATCTACTTCTACACATATGTTTCAGAGGAAGATACTAAGAATTGAATCAGCTAAGACAGACAATTTACAGAAAATATAAACAAGATAGCAAGCGCATAACAAGTTGCATAACTTGAAGAGACACATTCTGACAATTATCAATAAACATGCATGAAAGGGGAATAAATCTGACCTCGTCAGTGTCTTCTCCTTCATCTTCCTTACTTGGTGAATTGCTATCCACCACAGGTAATGGCAAGGGTCTTGAGAGAGTCTTTGCACCTTCGCTATAGGGTGTCTGCTTAGTATACACATTAACAAAGAAAAAGGCAAGAGTATGAGAGAATCCATGTTCAACATGGCACATAATTCAATGCACTCAAAAGTTAGAAAAGAATCGCTGGACAGCAAGTTAGACAGCTTGAAAAAATGACCTTTAAAATGATCACCGTCAGGGAAAGAACAACCAGCAACTCTCTACCCTGAAAGCCATCCTGGCCCTTAATATCTAAGTGATTTAACTCCAAGGTATCGGTCTAGTGGTAAAAAAGGATGGGAGATGAAGAGTACCTAACCTAACTCACAGCATCCAAATTGTGGCGCAAACATCACGAATTTTTAAAAACACCTCATTGACTCATGGAAGTTCTTACTTCCCATTTTCACAATTGTGCCTCTTCTTTTACGTAACTTCACCCTGTTCATGCTACTTCACCAAGATTAAGAAATGCATTGATGTCTACCAATCCCATAGAGCAGCGACATCATTATGATGACAGTGATTTGTGCTGGGAAAAAAACTATAATATTTTTTGTTCTCCTATATCCTGTTTGTACAAGTTCATTGTTTTCTCTTTCATAATCCCTATTGCTCGTGCTTCTTAACTTGGTTCATCAACCAGTATGTTAGACATATAATTAGTAGAATAATAATAATTAATATATTAGTTAAGTAGGGTTAGGCGGCTAACCTAGGCCGATTAGGTTAGGATTAGTTTATTAGGGTTTTGGGTTTATTTCTTATAAATATGTACTTTGCGTTTACGTCATAAGCAATCAAGAAATCAGTCAAGAAAAGTATTAAGTAAAGTATCTCTCCTAAACCTAAACCCTCTCAACTCCTAATTTCTATCCTCCCCTAATCCAAGGCCTAGGCCAATTCCGGATTCTATTTTGTTCATTCTCATCTAAATCCCTAATTCTTTCTCTCAACCCTAAATCCCTATTTGTTACAAGTAATTGCGGGTGCCGAAGATCAGTCCCTAAAATCCCTAGAAGCGGGGTTCTAACAATGTATGAGAGTCTGGTTGTGGCACTCGTACCATGGTTTCGACCTTCGTCAAGTTCTCAATCAAAGAACTCACAAAGATTCTTAAAATAAAGTTGGAAGCTGCAAGAACATAGAGGAGTACAATCCCGCATCCAGTCATAGCTTGCGCCGCAACCAGATCGATGATCGCAGAGATGGATTTTGACGATTGGTTGGAGCAACCTGCGTTTCCAATCGAGCCCGAGCAAGGTGGAACCACGCCACCCATGATGCTAGCGACGGTAGAAGAGTTGATGGCGGCGGATTCGCCGGCCACAAAAGACACGCCAGCGCCACCAATCAGCGTATCTGAGATGATTGAGAAAGCAGCTATTGCAGCGCCTGTCGTCCTTGCGACATCAGCATCATCAACCGTTCATTCCTCAGACAAGACGAGGACAAGGATCAATGAGCTCCTGGCGGTGAAGCCGCCGGCCCCGAAAGAAGCACCACCACCAACAGTTGCCACTATGACGACCAAAGACGAGGAGCAGGTCCGCCGGGGTTCTACTCCTATGGCGCGAATCGCGCGGTGGGTGTCGTGGGTTACAGGGAACCCAAACGCGGCGACGATGAACGGGAATCCGTTCCGGGCTAGGAAGAGGAGCTAAAGACGATGACAAGTCAGCGTTGCACCGCTCAGGACCGGTTGCCAACGAAGAGCGGAGCAGATGGCGGGTATCGCCGGGTCGAGCTTGGCGAGTCTCCGCGAGATGGGCTACTCGCCGGAGCCGGGGTGGCCGTCGGGTTGCTCGCCATCGGGAAAAGAAGAGGCGAGGAAGAAGGAAGGCGGCGACGGTCTCCCTTCTCCAGCAACCCTAGGTCGCGCCACCAAGAGGCCAGAACCGTTGGGCCTAGCTGTGGTTCGGGTCGCTGGGCTCGAGTTAGCCAGAGTGGATTAGCAATCGGAGCGGGCCGAAATATGCCCACTAGTTAAGTCTTTTCAGTATGGTTGTGGGCCAACATATGAAGAAGTTGAATCCAACTTGGGTTTTGTCTTAAGGAAATCAGATTGGGAGGAAGTTGTTACGTTGGTGGATGGACTTGTAAGTGAGTTAGGTCCATGCGAAATTGAGAAAAGGGAACAACTAAGGAAGTTTGACATGGGGTTGGGCCATGCATCCTACTTTCAAGCTAATGTGGGCCGACCCAAAGGAGAAGGAAAAGAAGGGCATGTGGAAGAATTTATAGAGCGTATCTTTGAAGACCAACAGATGGAGTACAAGGAAGAATTGTTCGGCTATGGGCTGGAACGTAGGTGCCACGTGGTGGGGCAAGAATTGTGGAAAGTGGAAGTTGGTGGAGAAAGATTAATTTGTGGAATTGAGCGCAATTGGAAGCGAAGAAAGAGGAAAATCAAGAAGACGGAAGTTGACTGCAACCTTGAGGATAAGGTCGCTTCCAAGGAGGGTGGAATGTTAGACATATAATTAGTAGAATAATAATTAATAATAATGTTAGTTAAGTAGGGTTAGGCGGCTAACCTAGGTTGATCATGTTAGGATTAGTTTATTAGGATTTTGGGTTTATTTCTTATAAATATGTATTTTGGGTTTACGTCACAAGTAATCAAGAAATCAGTCAAGAAAAGTATTAAGCAAAGTATCTCTCCTAAACCTAATCCCTCTCAACTCCTAATTTCTATCCTCCCCTAATCCAAGGCCTCGGCCGATTCCTGATTCTATTATGTTCTTTCTCATCTAAATCCCTAATTCTTTCTCTCGACCCTAAATCCCTATTTGTTACAAGTAATTGCAGGTGCCGAGGATCAGTCCCTAAAACCTCCACACACCGACATGAGCGACAACAAAGCTGTATAGTCTTGTCACAACAAGTTCAAAAACAAATCTCTTTAACAAATGTTACAAACCTGGCTTTCCTCAGCAACACCGTTTCTCAACCATGATCGACAAAGTGCATAAAGAGAAGCTCCACCAGATATTCTTACCTACAAGCATAAATCAATGAAATTGTTATCGCTAAGATTAGTATTCGGGAACAGCAATAAAGTGTGGAACAGTGTGATAATACATCACTATTCAGAAGGAACGCATCTAAGCATGCCAACCATCTTTTCAGAATTGGAACAAGTCAACAACAAATGTCAATTATACGGGGAGGGGCTTAAGATGGATGAAAGTAGGAAGAGAAGCTTACTTTTCGATCTCTAACTACAATGACAGCATCATCTGTTACGTCCCTGCATAAAGAACAAGAGTAGCATGATTAAAGTTAGTGTGTGCAATGAATTCTTGATTGCTAAACCTAAGATGATAACGCTGCGCCAATTTGACCTCGTATTTTTGTAGCCACTTGTTATGGGACAATCCAAGTACCATATCGGTAATACAAGGGAAGGAACCCTTGTATATTAGTGTCCACCAAGCTCATTAGTACGAGACCTTTTGGTGAGGACACCCAAGAGTAAATCCGTGCGGGCTTGGCCCAAAGCGGACAATATCGTACTAATTGAGCAGCCCGGTTATGACAAGTGGTATCAGAGCCTGGTTGCGGTTTTGGGAATTTGGCGCTGGACTGAAGTTTTGCTTTGTGGAGGTAGCTTTCAATTCTTCAGCTTGGTTCGGTGGAGGAATCGCTTTGAAGTTGACTCTGGGTAGTTGTGTTTTGGTCTCGCTTTTTTGGTGAGAAGTTTGGTTGGAGTTTGTTTGATAATAAGAATGGCTGCTATCAGTATGAAGATTGAGAAGTTTACCGGAAGAAACAGTTTTAGTTTGTGGCAGATCAAGATGCAAGCACTGTTGAAACAACATGGTTTGTGGGCTCCGTTGTCTGGAAAATCGAAGAAGGAAAGCATAGATGAAGAAGAGTGGATTACTTTGGAAGAGAAAGCTCACTCTACAATCTTGCTTTGTTTGGCTGATGACATCATCACTGAGGTTGCTGCTGAGAAGACTGCCGTAGGTTTGTGGTTGAAGCTTGAAAGTCTATACATGACAAAGTCTTTAACCAACAAGTTGCATATGAAGCAACGTTTGTTCAGTTTGCGTATGGAGGAAGGTACATCTCTCAGGAATCATCTAGATCAACTCAATAATATCTTGTTAGATCTGCGGAATATTGATGTTAAAGTAGATGATGAGGATGCTGCCTTAATTCTGTTAGTATCTTTGCCACAGTCATATGAGAATTTTGTGGATTCTTTTATTGTTGGGAAAGATAGTTTGTCTTTGGAAGATGTCAGATCTGCTCTACATACTAGGGAGGTTCGACATAAGAGGTCTGGTTCAGGGCGATGGACGTCAGTTTGGTGGGACCCTCGTTTGGTGGCCTCAGGATTTGCGATCTGAGTCTGGTTTGGTGGATTCACGAGAGATCCACGTTTGGGCTTTGGCGGATCAAAGAGAGTTCCGCGTTTGGGAAGGAGATCAAAGAGAGTTCTGCGTCTGGTAAATTTCTTGTACCGAGAAGCCCATCGATACAAGGTGTCTGGCGGATCAAGATAATCGCTGAGGTGAGGACACGAAGTTCGTGGTCCTTGTCTTGAGGGGAGGATTGTTATGGGACAATCCAAGTACCACATCGGTAATACAAGGGAAGGAACCCTTGTATATTAGTGTCCACCAAGCTCATTAGTACGAGGCCTTTTGGTGAGGACACCCAAGAGTAAATCCGTGCGGGCTTGGCCCAAAGCGGACAATATCGTACTAATTGAGCAGCCCGGTTATGACACCACTAGAATCAGAAACTGGGGAAGGAGATGGGGCAACCTAAGAGAGAGAAACAGAAGCCCTAGAACAGCAGGAAAAGGGGCAAAAGCCAATGGAAGTTACCATGAGTTGGCAAGGAAGGGGGATTCCCTTGATAGGGGCCGCTGAAGCGGGAGGAGAAGGAACGAGGGTATGGAGAGGGTTGGGATTGGAAGGCGGTTGCCTGGAGAGAGTTGGATATTGAGGATGAGAGAGCAAGGGAGATGGAGAGGCTGGCCTGTAACTAAGGGCGGAGGAAGAGGGATTGAAGGTCCCACGAAGAAGAAGAGTAGTGGGAGTGGTGTTATTAGAGAGGGGAAAGCTGTGATCGGAGGGGCGGAGAGTGCCCGGAACGAAGCCGCGGCCGGAGGAAGCAAGAGGATATACGATGTCGTTTTGGGCAGGGGGCGGGGAACTGGAGATGGGAATCTGGGTTTGGGATCTGGGAGGGAGGTTTTGGCAGTTGCTGTTGTTAAGGTAGTACTGCTGCTGCTGGTAAACTGGGCACGGATATGGATGCGAGGCTTGGGGTCTTCCAACACTCGGTTGAGCGAAGGCGGTGTTGTTCGGACTGGATGCCATAGTTGTATCTTGGGGAGGGAGAGGGATTCTATTTCTTTCTGGCGGGGAATTGGGTGTTCAGCTTTTTTGTTCTATTCCTTTCCTTGTCCCGTGTAGGAATGAATTTCTCATTTTGAAAAATGAAAATTACTTGCTTATTAGAAACAAGCAGATTTTTCAAAGAAAAAAAAAGCAGATAATTAATCATGATCCCTAGTTAATTGGACTCACTTGGGTCGTGTGGTACTTTAATTTGAAGGGGCCGGGGAAAAGATGGAGGGAGCCCAATTGGAATATTTACAGTAGAGAGAAGCCCAATCAATCACTTGGGCCCGCTTCCTCACGTTGGCCTCCCTTCAAGTCACTATGGCGATGTCTGCGAGTATCTGGATGTAGAATCGCCTCTTCATTCTCATTTTATCCTCAAAACGAGCAATTGAGTGATTTTTTAGTTTGGTTCCAATATGAGTATATCTTCCTCTTTATCTGTTATCAATTTTGGGAGACTAGGCCATGGAGAACGCTGATGTTTCTTCCCTGCTCTCCATTTGGGTTCTTAGATCTATGATGCATCTCTTTCTACAGAACCATATGGGTCTTGTTGGATGAGACTACTTTGATGCAAGTAGGATAGGTTACGATTCCAAGGCGTGGAAGAGGACAAAGACACTTCATGTGGGTGAATCCAAGGGGGCTTGGGTTCCGATGGAGGGCTTCTTCTATTCCTCTCGAGGCTGCTCGGGGGAGAAGATCGTCTAACCATGCTCTGCCAAAGTATCCATAAATTAATCAGTGAACAAGGACCCTTAGAATTTCTCCCTTGCAACATTATGTCGTTTGACCGAATGACGTTCAATCGAATAGGATCGACATTTCTAGTCAAAATCCTGAGAAACTTGGATTTCGATCCTCGCACCGCGAAGGAGTCCAAGGTCGACTAAGCTCTCATTCGGATCGACAAATAACAAAATACAGGTAATCAAACATCAACACATATGAATAAACACAATCTTATTAAACCAAACATTGAATTCTACATGATTAGAACCTCTAGTGTTCACATACTTACATAAGTAACGAACTTAGCCAACCATGGGGAAGGGTTCTTAAGTGTTCATCGATTGAAACGAATACCCCAGAAGCCCACAGGAAACGGTGCTGACAATTGAGAAAACGGAGCCCATATACCACCATGTCTGGCGCCATTTCTCCCTTGAAGGTTATTCTCGTTGTAAGCCAGGAGGGTTGCTCTATCGATAGAGTAACAATCCTTCCTTGACCTCTCGTCTCCTCCTCCCATTTTCTATCTCTAGAGACCTATTTATAGGCCTTTTATTAGACTTTCTAGGGAGGAAATCTCGTAGCTCCAACATCATCCAACCAATGAGAAGGCTCCAAACACGTGGCCAGCGAATTAGGAGGCTCCAGGGTGACTTTCTAACGAAGTAGTTTAGCTCCACAAAATGGTCGCTAAAGCACCGTTTCACACCAAGGGTACCATTTTGGGAACTGTTTTACTTAAGTCGTACTCTCTTTGAATCTTGGCTATAACAACTAGATCTCGATGTCCCATACGACTGCCAAGTTGTACAATAGTCTGTTTTGACTTAAAATGCACAAAATGGTACAAAAACACATATTAATCATATAAAAGCAATCCTAGGGTTGCTAGAACAAACTTGAAGCAATCATAACAAAAATTCAAGGTATTATGAAGATATTGATAGGAAATGTGTGCACTTTCGATCATAATACGAGGGTCTAGACTAGACATTTCTACGTGTCATCAAATAACCCCACACTTGAACTTTGCTTGTCCCTAAGCAAATCTAATCTTAACATCCTTCTCCTCACTAGACCTCTATGATGACATGTGACTTCCGATCCTAGGTAATGGATCATAAGAAGCTTACCGGGTCAACCCTTGCAATGAGAAACCTTGGTCCTTGAAATGATGCTCAAAACGTAATTCGTAAGGACAAAATGGTTCATCTATCACGAGATGGAGTTCTCTTTTTCTTCCCCGAGTTTTCTTATACTAAGATTGGCATGAAGCTATGTAGCTTGATTATGAAGTATTTACATTCCTGCCCACATAAGTCTTTTAAAGAGTTTTTCATATGAAGACGATCTTGTCACGTTGTATTTCACTTTTAATGCGCATAAGGGGGTTTGTGTTGTCTCGCACTTTGGTACTTAGCGCAAGCCTTGATCGAGCAAGAGCAGTTTTAGCTCCTTTTCTACGATCTTGCGGGTGGTGAATGAAGTCAAGGGGTGTCAATTTATTTTGTAATGTTTGTCGATTTATTTTGTAATGTTTGTAAGCTTTATTATTTTTGTGCACCATGTTTATCATTTTTTGTCAACCATGTTTGTAATGTTTTTTATGTTTAAAAAATAACCTAGTTGACTTTTGGTTGAAACTCTTCTATATAGGGATGGAGGCTCCAAAATCAACCCGGGTGTTTTTCCAGTTTGTATGGTGACTCGCTAAAACACAACTCCTAACAAAGCCCAAGTGTAACCAATGAAAGGGACTGCAGTATAGTGGCTCAAGTAATAAATATCGAATCCACGGGTCTCTAGAGTTACTATTACTCAGCTTCAGTTCATTATCTAGCAAACCAGATTAAGATAGAACAACTAAAACTTCTCTAGAACAACCGATCAAGGCGTTCTGAACTAGATTCCCTCTATCGAATGAGGCTTTCAATCGATACAAAGAAGTGAATCAACCCTCGACTAAAGCAATCGATCCAATACTATCAATCTATGGTGCTCTATTGACCTAATCAGGTATTCGCTCTCATAGGATCAACTAGGGATCTGGGCCCCCAGGCAACAGGATTGGGAGGGGGGGGGGGCAAGGCCCAAAAATGGTTCTGAGAAATACCCCAAGGCCCAAACAAGAGGAAGGGCGCATGAGGACAAACCGCTAAAGGCCAAGGGAGACCAGGCTGTCAGGTGGTCCTTAGCCTACGGGCGCCTGTCACGCGTCAGAAGCCTGACAGGGCAATTGTGATATCGGACAAAGAGAGTACAGAGCATGTCAGGTGGTCCTTAGCCTGTGGGCGCCTGTCACGCGTCAGAAGCCTGACAAGGCAGTTGAGATATCTGACAAAGAAAGTACAAAGCATTAAATGGGGACGCTGACGTGGAGGAGATCAACCTCGGGTTCGGTGAGTATAAATAGGGGCAGTTGGTAGCATTTACACAGGGGGACTCTCTCACTAGAATTCCTACTTTGAGACCTTTTCCCTCTCTAAGGAACTAACTTGGGCGTCGGAGGATTAACGGGCCCAGGCTCCCTCCTTTTCGTGCGTGTGTGTAGGCAGGCGCCAGTCGGAGGGAAGTTCCAGGAGTTTCGGCGGGTATCGTGGCACAAACAATTGACGCGCCAGGAAGGGGGGTATAACCAGGAGTCATGAGTGAGGAGACGTCAATGAATGGAGAAAGAGAGAGAGAAGAGATTACGGAAGACCAGTCGGGGGGATGAGGGGGCTGACGCCCGAGATGGAAGAAGGTGAGGAAAGCGATGGTGTGTTCCGAGGGTCGGAAGGCGCCTCGGTGACGAAGAAAGAGCTGTTTAGGATCATCGAGGATCAAGACGGAGCGATCGAGGCGCTTCGAAGGGAGGTCGACGCCTTAAGAAGGGGCGAAGGGATGACGCCCAGAGGCGTCCCAGTTTGTGGCGCCCTCGTGAGTACGAGGGGCCAGACGCAGGTGAGTGGACCGGAGGAATTTTGGGGCGTCTATCACGTCACGGCCCCGTGAAACAGCCTTTGGTGCGTAACATACTAATGGAACCCGCAGGGACTAACATTCCCCCGCTCCCCACCTACGATGGGACCGCTGATCTGGAGGACCACCTCAACGGATACTTCACCAAGATGCAGCTCTACAACAGTACAGACGCCACCCTGTGCAAAGTGTTTCCATCAAATTTCGCGGGTGTGGTCCTCGACTGGTACTACCAGATTGAAGAAGGGCGCATCGAGTGCTTTGAGCAATTTGCGGAGATGTTTCTGGCAAAGTTCGCCAGCAGGAAGCGTCGCACCCTGACCATAGGCGCCCTGTTCAAGGTCAAGCAAAGAGATGGTGAGGCGCTGAGGGAGTTTTATGAGAGGTGGCTGTCCGTGGCCTTGGCGGTGAAAGACGCGCAGCCGTCGGTGTTGGGAGTATGCTTGAAAGAATGTACCACCAGCGAGGAGTTGTGCAGGTCACTGGCAAAGAGAGACGTTGTGTGTACTGAAGACCTGGACCGCAGAGTGCAGAAGGTGATCATGCTCGAAGAGACCTTGGCGGCCAGGAGGGCAGACAGACAGAAGACAAGAGGGGAAGAGGTTGAGATGGTAAGGAGGCCGCACCCTCCGAGCGGTTCAGGGTATGCGCCCTCGAATCCACCCCCACCAAGACGGGTGGACGCCGGACGCCCGGCGCCCAGGGGCACGGGAACCTTTGCTGAATACACCGACACACTAAAAAACATACTCCAGCATGTCAAGGAGAAGGGGTATCACATCAGGTGGCCGGGTCCCATGAGGGGGCAACCCAATGAACGGAATCTGGATCGATATTGTGACTTTCACCGAGAGGTGGGGCACCATACAGCCGACTGTTATCAACTGAAGACCGAGTTGCAAGGCCTGGCCGACAGAGGGATGCTCAACGACTTCGTCAGGAAGCCTGAGGAAAGAGTGCACCGTACGTGCGTGGCCGGTATGGAAAAAGTGAGGGAAGAGCTACCACCCCCGCCCTATGACCTTGACCAAGAAAATGCGCCCGAACGGGTGCCCCTGACCATCGAGGCTATTTCAGGAACAGTGGACTTGAGGGAGAAAATAGAGGCAAATCGCCGCCTGAAAGCGGCATCGGCAGACGTGCAGGAGGCGATCGATATCAGCTTCAACAGGGCGCCGGAGGAAGTGATAGACCGTTAATTACACATGTTTTTACCCCTGTTCTTACACCGTTTGAGGTGTTGATTCTCGTGTTTTAGGCCGATTTCACACTAGGTTGTGCTTGTTTGTGATATTTCAGGTCCTAGTACGTGAATGGAGGCTTGGGAGCGAGTTTAGGGTCGATTGGACGAAGATCGGACG